TTTCATTTTGGATGATCTGTCCATTGGTGAAAGTGGGGTGCTAAAGTCCCCTACTATGGTTGTGTTACTGTCGATTTCCCCTTTTATGGCTGTTAGCATTTGCCTTATGTATTGAGGTGATCCAATGTTGGGTGCATAAATATTTACAATTGTTATATCTTCTTCTTGGATTGATCCCTTGATCATTATGTAGTGTCCGTCTTTGTCTTTTGTAGTAGTCTTTATTTTAAAGTCTATTTTGTCTCATATGAGAATTGCTACTCCAGCTTTCTTTTGATTTCCATTTGCATGGAATATCTTTTTCCATCCCCTCACTTTCAGTCTTTATGTGTCCCTAGGTCTGAAGTGGGTCTCTTGTAGACAGCATGTATACCGGTCTTTTTTTGTATCCATTCAGCCAGTCTGTGTCTTTTGGTTGGAGCATTTAATCCATTTACATTTAAACTGTTTATCAATATGTATGTTCCTGTGCCCATTTTCTTAATTGTTTTGGGTTTGTTATTGTAGGTCTTTTCCTCCTCTTGTGTTTCCTGCCTAGAGAAGTTCCTTTAGCATTTGTGTAAAGCTGCTTTGGTGGTGCTGTACTGTCTTAGCTTTTGCTTGTCTGTAAAGATTTTAATTTCTCAGTCGAGTCTGAATGAGATCCTTGCTGGGTAGAGTAATCTTGTAGATTTTTCCCTTTCATTATTTTAAATATGCCTTGCCACTCCCTTCTGGCTTGCAGAGTTTCTGCTGAAAGATCAGCTGTTAACCTTATGGGCATTCCCTTGTGTGTTATTTGTTGTTTTTCGTTTGCTCCTTTTAATGTTTTTCTTTGTATTTAATTTTTGATAGTTTGATTAATATCTGTCTTGGCGTGTTTCTTCTTGGATTTATCCTGTATGGGACTGCCTGCACTTCCTGGACTTGATTGACTATTTCTTTTCCCTTATTAGGGAAGTTTTCAACTATAATCTCTTGAAATATTTTCTCAGTCACTTTCTTTTTCTCTTCTTCTTCTGGGACCCCTATAATTTGAATGCCGGTGTGTTTAGTATTGTCCCAGAGGTGTCTGAGACTGTCTCAATTCTTTTCATCCCTTTTTCTTTATTCTGCTCTGCAGTAGTTATTTCCACTGTTTTATCTTCCAGGTCACTTATCCATTCTTCTGCCTCAGTTATTCTGCTGTTGATTCCTTTAGAGTTTTTAAATTTCATTTATTGTGTTGTTCATCAGTGTTTGTTTGCTCTTTAGTTCTTCTAGTTCCTTGTTAAACATTTCTTGTATTTTCTCCATTCTATTTCCAAGAGTTTGGATCATCTTTACTACCATTACTCTGAATTGTTTTTCAGGTAGACTGCTTGTTTCCTCTTCATTTGTTTGGTGTGGTGGGTTTTTACCTTGCTTCTTCATCTTCTGTGTGTTTCTCTGTTATCTCATTTTTCTTAACTCACTGTGTTTGGGGTCTCCTTTTCACAGGCTGCAAGTTCATAGTTCCTGTTGTTTTTGGTGTCTGCCCCCTGTAGCTAAGGTTAGTTCAGTGGGTTCTGTAGACTTCCTGGTGGATCGGAGTAGTGCCTGTGTTCTGGTGGATGCGGCTGGATCTTGTCATTCTGGTGGGCGGGACCACATCCAGTGGTGTATTTTGTGGTGTCTGTGACCTTATTATGATTTTAGGCAGCCTCTCTGCTAATGGGTGGGGTTGTGTTCCTGTCTTGCTAGTTGTTTGGCATAGGGTGCCCAGTACTGTACCTTGTTGGTTTTTGAGTGAAGCTGGGTCTTAGCATTGAGATGGAGATCTCTGGGAGAGCTTTTGCCATTTCATATTATGTGGAGACGGGAGGTCTCTGGTGGACCAGTGTCCTGAACTCGGCTCTTACACTTCAGAGGCACAGGCCTGACACCCCTCCAGAGCACCAAGACCCTGTCAGCCACATGGCTTAGAGGAAAAGGGAGAAAGAAAGAAAGGAAGAAAGAAATAATCAAATAAAAAGAAATAAAGTTATTAAAATAAAAAATTATTAAAAATTTTTAAAAAGTAATTAAAAATAAGAAAAGAGAAAGAAAGAAGAGAGCAACCAAACCAAAAAACAAATCCACCAATGCTAACAAGTGCTAAAAACTTTACTAAAAAAAAAAAAAAAAACGGACAGACAGTACCCTCAGACAAATGGTAAAAGCAAAGCTGTACAGACAAAATCACACAAAGAAGCATACACATACTCAGAAATAGAGCAAAAGGAAAATAATATATATATCTTTCGGGAAGTCTGAGGTCTTCTGCCAGTGTTCAGTAGGTGTTCTGTAGGAGTTGTTCCACATGTAGATGTATTTCTGATGTATTTGTGTGGAGGAAGGTGATCTCCACATCTTACTCCTCCACCATCTTAAAGGTCTCCTCCTCATTATTTTATATGACAGTGTTTTAGCCGTCTGTTTTTTTTAGTTGTAATTATTTTAGGCTGCATTGGGTCTTCATTGCTGTGCGTGGGCTTCTCCAGCTGCGGCAAGCGGGGGCTACTCTTTGTTTCGCTGCGCAGGCTTCTCGTTGCTGTGGCTTCTTTTGTTGCAGAGCATGGGCTCTAGGCGCACGAGCTTCAGTAGTTTCAGCATGTGGGCTTCAGTAGTTGTGGCGTGTGGGCTCAGTCGTTGTGGCACATGGGCTTAGTTGCTCTACGGCATGTTGGATCTTCCCAGACCAGGGATTGAGCCCGTGTCCCCTGCATTGGCAGGCAGATTCTTAACCATCGCGCCACCAGGGAAGTCCCAGCTTAGCATTTTAAAAAATCTGTAAAGGGCTTCTCTGGTGGCGCAGTGGTTGAGAGTCCGCCTGCTGATGCAGGGGACACGGATTAGTGCCCCAGTCCGGGAAGATCCCACATGCCATGGAGCGGCTGGGCCCGTGAGCCATGGCCGCTGAGGCTGCACGTCCGGAGTGTGTGCTCTGCAATGGGAGAGGCCACAGCAGTGAGAGGCCCACGTACCGCAAAAAAAAAAAAAAAATCTGTAAAAAGGTGACTTGGATTCAGACTCCAGCTTAAGAAAACTGTTTTGATATGCTAAAATAGAGAGCTAACTTGGGCTAAAAAGGGTATGGACCCATCTTTTAGACTTTGGTCTGTCCCAGAATTCTGCCACATAGTCTTGTGTTGTCTGTTTCCCTTATCATAAAGACAGTATGTTTATTTTTGTTTGTTTTGCGGTACGCTGGCCTCTCACTGCTGTGGCCTCTCCCGTTGCAGAGCACAGGCTCCAGATGCACAGGCTCAGTGGCCATGGCTCACGGGCCCAGCCGCTCCGCGGCACATGGGATCTTCCCGGACCGGGGCACGAACCCTTGTCCCCTGCATCGGCAGGCGGACTCTCAACCACTGCGCCACCAGGGAAGCCCCTATTATCTCTTTTTATCCTTACAGTGGTCCTATTAGTTACAGGTGGTATTACCCCTTTGTAGTAAGGGAATTGGTTCTGAGAGATTACCCAATTATTAAAGAGCAAAGTTAGAATTCCAAAAAAGGTTTCTCAGAAAACTAAAAATAGTACTACTATATGACACAGCAATTCTACTTCTGGGTGTATATCTGAAAGAAATGAAAATGTTAATTCAAAAAAGTATGTGCACCCCAATGTTCATAGCAGCATTACTTACAATAGCCAAGATATGGAAGCAACCTCAGTGTCCTTCAACAGATGAATGGATAAAGGAGATGTGGTAACATGCACAATGGAAAACTACTCAGCCATAAAAAAAAGAATGAAATTTTGCCATTTGCAACAACGTGGATGGACTTGGGTATTACACTTATTGAAATAAGTCAGCCAGAGAAAGACAAATACTGTATGATGTCACTTATATGTGGAATCTAAAAAATACAACAAACTAGTGAATATAACAAAAAAAAAACAGACTCACTGATATACAGAACCAACTAGTGGTTACCAGTGGGGAGAGGGAAGTGGGGAGGAGCAAGATAAGGGTAGGGGATTAAGAGGTACAAACTACTATGTATAAAATAAAAAAGCTACAAGGATGTATTGTATAGCACAGAGAATATAGCCAATATTTTATAATAAGTAAAAGTGGAGTATAACCTTTAAAAATTGTGAATCGCTATGTTGCACACTTGAAACTTATATTGTATATCAGCTATACCTCAATTAAATATAATAAGATAAAAATTCTTTAAAAGAGAGAACGGGGAAAAAGTCAAACAAGGCACTTTATCTTTACATAGACAAAATTTTTTACTAATTTTACTGCTCTTTGTGCTTCAATCTCTCGTAAAATATTGGGTGGGTCAAAAGGTTCGTTCAGTGTTTTCCATAAGATGGCTCTAGTAGTGCTTAGTTGTCTTTAACTTCATTTGAAACAATTTTGTTAGATTGTATAGTGACAGCTGTCATATCAGCTCACATTTAAAGAAAACTTTTCAAAATTGGTGAATTTTTGTGTAGCCATTTTTTTGTTTTGTTTTAACTAATTTATTTATTTTTAAAATTTTATTTGTTTTGGGCTGTGTTGGCTCTTCGCTGCTGCGTGCGGGCTTTCTCTAGCTGTGGCAAGCCGGGGCTCCTCTTCATTGCAGTGGGCAGGCTTCTCATTGCAGTGGCTTCTCTTGTTGCAGAGCATGGGCTCTAGGCACGTGGGCTTCAGTAGTTGTAGCACGCGGACCCTAGAGCATGCAGACTTCAGTAGTTGTGGCGTGCGGGCTCAGTGTTTGTGGCTCGCAGGCTCTAGAGTGCAGGCTCAGTAGTTGTGGTGCACGAGCTTAGTTGCTCCACGGCATGTGGGATCTTCCCGGACCAGGGCTCGAACCCATGTCCCTTGCATTGGCAGGTGGATTCTTAGCCACTGTGCCACCAGGGAAGTCCCTGTGTAGCCATTTTAATATTGAAGATGGAAGGAAAAAAGCAACATTTTCAGCATATTATGCTTTATTATTTCAAGAAAGGTAAAAACGCAACTGAAACGCAAAAAAGATTTGTGTAGTGTATGGAGAAGATGCTGTGAGTGATCGAACATGTCAGAAGTGGTTTGTGAAATTTCGTGCTGGAGATTTCTCACTGGACAATGCTCCACGGTCGAGTAGACTAGTTGAAGTTGATAGTGATCAAATTGAGACCTTAATTGAGAACAATCAGTGTTATACCATACGAAAGATAGCTGACATACTCAAAATGTCCAAATCAAGCGTTGAAAATCTTTGCACCAGCTTGGTTATGTTAATCGCTTTGATGTTTGTGTTCTACATAAGTTAAGTGAAAAAGACTTTCTTCACCATATTTTTGTGTGCGATTCTCTACTTAAACATAACGAAAACGTTCCATTTCGAAAACAAATTGTGATGAGCGATGAAAAGTAAATACCGTACAATAATGTGGAATGGAAGAGATCATGGGGCAAGCAAAATGAACCACCACCAACCACACCAAAGACCCGTCTTCATCCAGAGAAGGTAATGTTGTGTATATGGTGGAATTGGAAGGGAGTCCTCTATTATGAGCTCCTTCTGGCAAACCAAACGATTCATTCCAACAAGTACTGCTCCCAGTTAGACCAACTGAAAACAGCACTTGATGAAAAGCGTCTGGAGTTAGTCAACAGAAAACGCGTTATCTTCTATCAGGATAACGCAAAACAGCATGTTTTTTTGATGACCAGGCAAAAACTGTTACAACTTGGCTGGGAAGTTCTGATTCACCTGCTGTATTCACCAGATATTGCACCTTCGGATTTCCATTTATTTCAGTCTTTACAAAATTCTTTCAATTCTTTACAAAAAAAAAAATTCTTTACAAAAAAATTTCAATTCCCTGGAAGACTGTAAAAGGCACGTGGAACAGTTCTTTGCTCAAAAGACAGAAAGTTTTGGGAAGATGGAATTATGAAGTTGCCTGAAAAATGGCAGAAGGTAGTGGAACAAAACGGTGACTATGTTGTTCAATAAAGTTCTTGTTGAAAATGAAAAATATGTCTTTTATTTTTACTAAAAAAACGAAGGGGGCTTTCTTGGTGGCGCAGTGGTTGAGGATCCGCCTGCCAATGCAGAGGACACGGGTTCGTGCCCTGGTCCAGGAAGATCCCACATGCTGCAGAGTGGCTGGGCCCGTGAGCCATGGCCGCTGAGCCTGCGCGTCTGGAGCCTGTGCTCCGCAACGGGAGAGGCCACAACAGTGAGAGGCCTGCGTACCGCAAAAAAAAAACCCAAAAAAACAAAACGAAGGAACTTTTTGGTCAACCCAACAAATTGATCTTCACATATATAAATTGCTTTGGCTTACCATGCTTTCATTTAGGTAATGAGAGGTATCCTATGAGCATCAGCTAAATTTTTTTTAAATATGTACATTCTCAGGACAAGTAATAACTTATTGGTCCTTCTATAATTATGATGGCCATATATCTAGAATTTTCTAGGACAATTCTGATATCAGATAATTTGTCCTGTCAAATTTGTTTCATGAATTTTTCAATAGGAAGACTTGGTTAAGGTGTAAAAACTACTCTCTCTGTATGGGAATACATTGTTTTTTAAAGTGAGGGTCTGCTTTAGACCTTTAGAAAAGGTGTTGAAAGTAAGAGTAAGTGGTAAATTAACACCTAGTAGAGTCTTTTCTTGGTCCCAGTTAGCTGTCCAAGAGAAGGAAATATTTTGGTGAAGAAAGTGATTAAATGCTGTTAGATGTTACTGGTAGATGGATCGGATCAGGTCTGAGAAGTGACCATTAGATTTAGCAATGCAGAGGTCATTGGTAAACCAGGCACTTTGCTAAATACTTCCTGTGTAATAGTTAGTCTCCATAGTAATCCTGTGAAGTAGATACTTATTAGGCCCATTTTGCAGACCAGGAAACTTAGATCCAGAGAGATAACTTGCTCAAGGACATAGGGCTAATAAGTGTTAGAGCTAGGATTTAAACCCAGTAAGACTCTAGATCTGCACTGCCCAGTACAAAAGCCACTAGCTACATGTGGCTGTTTACATTTAAATAAATTAAAGTTTTAGTTCATCAATCACACTAGTCACATTTCAAGTGCTCAGTAGGTACCATATTGGATAGTGCAGACTCAGAACGTTTCCATCATTGCCCAGAGTACTGTTGGAGCAGTACTCTAGAGCCTGTGATTTTAACCACTGTGATTTATATATATATATATATATATATATATATGTATATATATATTCTTTCATTTAAATTCTGCCAGTAAACTTTCCTCTGAAAATCAAAAGACTGGTACAGGTCTTCTTTTGTTATCAAATCAGTTGATTCCCACAAAATTATACTGATGTTTATATTTCATGCAGTCTGGTCATACATAAAATTGTTGTCAAGAGAAACATGGTAAGCATGGCTATATGTCCTTTCAGTTTTTTCCATTTTCATTTAGGGGAGTTCAGAGGACATAACTAATATGTTGAAGTGACAGTGATTCTGAATTAGTATAGGTACTTGAGTGCCACAGTATCTGTGTATTAATATCCTAAAGTGTGTAACTGAGGTTGGCTGGTTCAAATGTGTCTTGTAAAACTTCCAGGAGTAGGGACAGTGGGAAATTGAAGCTGTGATGCTTTTAGGGGAATTAAGTAGGTGAATGTCTCACTTCTGTCTCTTCAATTACTAATGTTTTCATGACTGAGCTTTTTACATCAAATTTATTACTTTGGACCCTTCAAGGAATATAAATTGTGGGAGAGATTTGGTCAATATAAGAATCATTAGATGGCCTTATTTATGTCATTTTTAAAACCATTTTATATTTTAATGTTTTCTTTCTCTTTTTTATCAATCATACTTTTTTTTAAAACATTCATTTATTTATTTACTTTATTACTTATTTGGCTGCACCAGGTCGGGTCTTAGTTGCAGCACATGGGATCTTTAGTTGCAGCGTGCGGGCTCCTAGTTGCAGCATGTAGGATCTAGTTCCCTGACCAGGAATCGAACCCAGGCCCCCTGCATTGGGAGCGCAGAGTCTTAGCCACTGGACCACCAGGGAAGTCCGTGATGTTTTCTTTCTTTAAATGTAATTTGAACTGCTAAATAACTGCTTTCCCTCTTATTTTCATATATTTTTTAGAGCACACCTATGGTTGAGTTAGAGGATGTAACAGTGTTAATAAATTAAAGAGATGATGTGAACTCCAGATTGTATAGCATAAGAATTGAGTTGAATTCAGGCTCTACTTGGAAAGCTGCAACCTCTAGAAAGTTACTACAGTCATATAAAATGCAGAATGACACTCTTTACCTCGCAGTGAATGGCATATGTCATGTATAAGAATTGTAATGGATCACCAGTTTTTAAAGGTTAAATGCTAAATATAGTATCTAGTTCTTTAAATGTTAAATTGAGTATAAAACATTTTTATCAAAGGAGATTCTGGCTTTTACCCTCCACCAGTGTCAGTTTGGCAGGCCTGCCTTTTCTTTCCTTGAAAGTTACAAGTTCTGTAGTTGTCACTATCTTATTCATACCTACAATTTGAGAATCTGGATATATTTATCAATGCTCTTTGGTAAGGGTTATGTACTCTTGACCTAAAAATCTGATATGAGGTGGTATGTGAACTTCATTCAATAGCTCTCTAGTTACTCATCAAATATGTTGCATTTTTTTCTTGTGTAGTTTGGGAAGAAAGAGGCTTTAAATTTGAAAATAGAAACTTTTTTGACCAGGAATATTGTTTATTTATTAAGAATCTAGACTTATTTAAGTAATAAAAGGAATTTTTTCATAGCTTTTTTGAGTGGGTCCTGTGACACTTAAGTATTCTAGTGACATTTTATTTCCAGATATTATGAAACTCAAGTTCAAAGTGATGGCAAGCAAAATATTTTGAAACATGGCAAATCCTTGCCCCCACCTCTAGGCAAAGTCTTGATTGTTTTTTAAAAATTTTATTTTCAAGGTTGAATTTCAGAATTAATGAAACGGAAATTTTTGTCAGCTTACCAAATACTTTAAACTTCTAAATAGATTAACTTAAACTTGTAGTTTATCATTAATTTTATTTTATTAATTGAACTAGTCATTTTGAAGCTCAAACTAATTTAGGTTGTTAGCTAGAATATAGACCATGCTTTTCCCAGCTTGTAAGCTTTTTCACTTATTTAAGGAAAAATAAAGTTTAGACAAAGAAAAGTAAAGGTACACATTTGGATGTAATTTAAACCTCATTTTGATGACTGTTGGCCTAGTGATTATAGATTCTGTTCCAGTATTGTTTTCAATAATAGTGTTACTATAGCAACTAATATAAATGCATGCTTCAAGGGGAAAAAACAAAAAACCTCTCCACGATTATATTGTATATTGGGATGAAATTTTTCTTTATTAACTTTTATAACTTGCTCTAGATTTTGCAAAACTTTTTCCCAAAGAAATATTCTGAAGATCTTGTTACAAATACTTTTTTGCCCTCTTAATCTCATCAAGTTTCTTGTATTGACAGTATGCTGCAATTAATTTAAATGGGAAAGATGTAGAAACAGTTTGTATCAGAAATCCTGTATCTTCTTTCTGTTATTTGTGTCTTACACAACACTCTGGAAGAAAGAAAGATTTCTGCTTTCATGCTTCTGAAATGTATAAATGAATCTTGTTCCTATAAAAGTCAGTTAACTTTTATGTAATGTCTTTTCTTTATTAAAATGAAGATAGTGGTAAACATACTCGTCTGAGTCCTTGAGTATTGTCGGCATATTATTGTATGAACAAGTGGTTCATATAATAATACGTTAAAATTTTTTAAATTAATTAATTTATTTTTGGCTGCATTGGGCCTTTGCTGCTGCGGCAGGCTTTTTTCTAGTTGCGGTGAGTGGAGGCTACTCTTCGTTGCAGTGCACGGGCTTCTTTTTGTGGTGGCTTCTCTTGTCGCGGAGCACAGGCTCTAGGCGCGTGGGCTTCAGTAGTTGTGGCTCATGGGCTCTAGAGCAGAGGCTCACGGGCTTAGTTGCTCCGTGGCATGTGGGATCTTCCCGGACCAGGGCTTGAACCTGTGTCCCCTGCATTGGCAGGCAGATTCTTAACCACTGTGCCACCAGGGAAGTCCCTAAAATTTATCCATTAACCTATTTCATTACAGATTTGGTAATAATTAAAAACTAGAAGTGGCATAAATGTCTTGATAAACTCTGAAGAGAATAATTAAATAGATGATAAAGTGTATCTATATAATGTTCACACCTTGCAGCCATTAAAAACAATGAAAGTTTGTATTTAATGTAAAATAATGTTCATGGAAAGATATTAAGGCAGAAAGGTAGGTTTTAAATATAGTACAATCCCATTTTTATGTGAAAATGTGTGCACACACGTGTGTTAAGTGTAAATGTGTGGCGGGATATACAACAAATGTTACCAGTAGTTATCTCTAGTTTTTATAATAGATATTAACATCGTTTCCATTAAAATTTTTAAAAATTCTTTGAAAAGAAGGGAGTGCTGTAGCCAGTAGTAGCAATATGATTGATTTTTTGGCTTGATGTTAGCAGGGAGGTAATGTTTTAGGAAAAGGGTCCAAATTTTTTTAATGATAAAAAGCTAAGTCACATGCACTTTTCCTCTGACTTGTTGACATTTTAGCTGACTGTGGGTCAAAATGAAAGTTATTGCATGGGCAGAAGCTGAACCTCTATCATAATCTGACCTTAAAATTAGGCAATCATGTTTGACTTGATAGCATAGATCTTAAATCTGGAATTGGTGGGGAGAAGATATTTAAAGGTTTTAGAATGGTATTTCCTGAAATGAATATCTCCTGAAGATGAAAATGGTAAAAATAGTTCATGTCAGGTTCAGGCTAAGCATGAACTGGCCTTTCACAAGTTTTTGTCTAAGAATTGTGTTTGTTTCAGTTTTTATATTTTCTTTTATTAAAAAATTAACACATACTTGTTTTTAAAAACTTCAGAAAGAACAAAGGTGTTAAAAAGAGAAAAAATAGACCTACTTAAGTTTTTCCTTCCCCTGGAATCCTTTAGGGAATTTTCTTTTTTTAAGAGAATAGATCTGGGAAATAGAGGGCACTATACCTCAAGAAAACAGTCATTCTTTACAGTGTGATAGAATGATCACTGGATAGGAGTCAGGAAATTTATCTTCTAGTCCCAGCTAGTCCTTAGCTCTGTGATTGGAAAAAGGTTACTTTGCCTCTCTGGACATCAGTTTCTACCAATTTCAAGATGATAAGTTTGGACTTTGAAATTACAGGATGCTAAGGACTAACTTGATAAAGCTCCCTGAAATCACAGACACTTTTTAAAAGGGTGTATATGGGTGTGTTTGTGTGTATGTGTGTGCATGTATGCACACTGCATACATGCATTTCTGGAAAGGTTTTTCTCTAACCATAAAAAGTAGTTAATGTATGGATCGTGGTATTTATAATTGAGAAATAAACATTACACTTGATTGACATAGTGTTTATTTCCAAATAATTGGGTATTTCATTTATTCCTGCTATTCTTATCTCATCCTGTTACATATGTGATGGTAGAATATTTCATCCATGTTTAACTTATAGTCATAACTAGATTAAGTTATTATCCAGTATTACGGAGAAACCACACAGCTGAAAAATAAATTCAGTTCCTAGCACACAGTTCTCCTGGTCTTTCCCTTAGGTTGCTGTCTTAGAGAAATGAAGTGATTTTTGACTATGGTTAAGAACATCACCTATTGTTAGACAGAAGTAAAATTAGGGACTATCTATAGAACATTTCTACCTTGTAATTTATTTGGTATTTTGTAGAACAGCTGACTTTCCTAATTGTACTTGGCATGGTCACTTGCTAAAAATATTAGTCAATGTTATCTGGTTTTATTACATACCTCTCTCCTGAGTCATGCTTGGGGGGTAAGCATGGGAGACACACATCTAAGAAAGCATTATCCTTTAACAGAATTTAATTCAGACTGCCCTATCTCCCTGCCTGCCTGGTCACTAACTCTGAACTTTGGAGATCTATCTAGTGATGATAAACCTGTTCTATATGTCATAGGCCAGAGAAGTCAGCTTTGATGGCAGACTTCTACACTGGTGCAGGAGAGAAATGTTTACTTAACATTTTAAAAGAATAAACTTATTAACATATATGTGTTCCACCAGTAGACTTTCTTGAGCCCTCTTGCTTGTATGGTCTTTTAATGTTTTCAACGAAAGAAATAGCACATGCCTTCAAAATGAATTATAAAATCTCAATTACAGCTGTATGCATTAAGAAAATCAGTTCCTTTTCTTTCGTGAAATTATGAAGTGATTATTTATGAGGTAGCAAGATAAAAAGTTTGTTAACATGATGGCAAATATCAGAATGTTTGGAATTGGTGTCAGCATTTGCTCTTGTACAGAAAAAAACTTAGGGCCTCATGAGCTGAATTTTTCATCTTGAGTTATTTAACAAACATTTGAGCCCCTACCCTGTGTTGGACGCTATATTCTAGGTATGGTTGAAGATGTAAAGACAAAATTCTTTTCATAGACAAAAGTCTATGCTAAACTTATGGAGGCATTAAGCATTATTAGATGCAGATTAAGTTTAAATTTAATGTGCTATATACCTCGCTGTACCTTCCTTTGGCCAGTCAAATATTATTTACGTTCTTTCACTAAGTTCACACTCAATTTAGAAAGTGTGTTCTAAGGAAACTTGCTGTTAGAAGCTATGGAAAATCCTTTTGTAAAGTGAATTAATTTGCCTTTTATATATCCAGGTTTTCATCTTTTATTTCTTAATAAACAACTTGCGAATATTTTAATTTTTTATTAGCAAGTAACATACCCATGGTTCACTTTAACCCCCTGCCCCCCAAATCTCCGTTTGTGTGTGTCTCTCTCATAATCATAATCACACAGAGCAGGAGTTTGGTGTTCTTACTGAGTATATAAATGATCCCAATTTTTAAGCTTTTAGTTTTTTTAACCTTAAAAGACTGGCTTAAGACATTATGACTTTTAAAAAAGACACTATGATAATAAATTGATAAACAGTGTATATCAGTTTAAATTTGAACCATGTGTCCTTACAGTGTAATTTATATTTGACCTTCTTACAATTGAAATATAAGGATTGTATGTTCCAGTTAAACTGTTCTGTAGCTGTTTTGATTAATTTAAATTTAGTTTTTGTTAGTATAGTGGTTGGTAGCTGAAGTGATTATGAAAATAAAGTTGTTAAACATGTAAGAACAGGAGTAGCCATGATTTTTAGCACATTCATTCAGTGTTATCTCTGAGTTAAGCAGACTTCTGTTAGCATTTTTTTATCAACTCAGAACAAAGCACAAAACAAAATGCATATGAAAAAGTTAGAAAAAAGTTGGAGGAAAAAACCTTGAAAGATGAAAAGTAGTCATTAAAAAATTGAGCCCCTAAAACATGCTATATAAACATAACATTCTTACGTAAGAGGCTGGTGTTGCATGTATTGTGAATGTTTTCTAGGTAATTTATCATATATATCAGAAATATGTATAGCAGCCAGTTTCTAGCTTCTAGTCTAACAGTAGACCAAAGAACTATGGAGATATGATCCAGAGGGAGAAAATAATTATTATTTCAACCCCTCTAAACAGGACACCATACTTGCAGAACTTCTTCAAATACATAAAGAACACATTGTAGGATATCATGAACATGATTCTCTTTTGGACCACAAAGAAGAAGAAGAGTTGACTGAAGAAGAAAGAAAAGCAGCTTGGGCTGAGTATGAAGCAGAGAAGAAGGTAGTTCATTTGAAATGCTTTTTTTTTATGTTAGTCATTTAAAAGAACAGTGGGGGAAGAAAAACGTCACATTTGGAACAGGTAGTAATGTAGTGAATCTTCAGGAACAGAGTCTCCAAGTAGGAGACTCTGTTTATGGGCTTTTCGGTACCTTTGGTGATAGAGTGGGAGGAGAGGAGAGAAGAAAATATTTTCCCCTTAAAGAGTAGTAACCTCATTTCTGATTAGCACTTGCTAAATTGAGAGATTAGTGGGAAGCTATATATTTAGCATCACTTAACTTCCATCAACACCCTCACAGTAGTAACAGACATATAGGAGCTTAGAGTTTGGAGGTAGGAGTAAATGTTGCTTTTAGCATGTGTACCATGAAATCTAAGTTTTGACTGATTATCAGAACACAGAAAGACTCCATTATTAGACATTAGTGTCAATCTCCAGCAGCAACTTTATTTAAAATAGTTCCACATCTGTTTTAAACACCACCCCCACTTGAGCAAAAATATGCCTGAGCATATGGGAAACCTTATCCTAATGCCTGAATCCTTTTTAAACTCATTGTACCAAACTTCTTTAACGTTGTGATTTTAGTAGTCTCATCAGAATTCTCTGAGTTGCCCCATTCTGTGGGAATTATCAGAAAAAGAGTACACCTTTAGGGGTTAAAGCTTTCTATGTAAGAAGATCTTGGTTTCGGGTGAAAAGGGTGTTTTGTTTGTGTGTGAAAGAGTGTTAATAATTTCCTAGATCTGAGAATGTGGATTTTTTTCTAAACCAGTAGGTGATGTAGAATTTCAAGTTTTAAATCACAATGTGGAAAGTGCATATTTTTTTTGTTTTTAGGGACTGACCATGCGTTTCAACATACCAACTGGGACCAATTTACCCCCTGTCAGTTTCAACTCTCAAACTCCTTATATTCCTTTCAATTTGGGAGCCCTGTCAGCAATGAGTAATCAACAGCTGGAGGTATGTTGTGAAGTACAAAAGTAGTTTAACTTGAATTAAAGGCAATTTCAAATGCCCTGTTGTTGAAGGTTCCCTATGCTGGAATATCACATTCTCCAAAAGATTACCTCTGAATAGACCAAGAAAGTTTTCTTTTATTTGTTGACCTTTTTGAACCAGCATAGTATAATAAAATGTGGTTTGTTCAGAGCACAAGGGAATCAGGCCTTGAATTAATGTAGTTTGAACAATTTTAATTAAGGAACAATAGAGCAGCTGACTGGCTAGGGAAATAGCACTTTCTTCAGTTATAAAATATTTTGAATAAACAGGATAAATACACACATTGATTTATATTCTAATGCAGTGTAGATGCAACATTAAGTATACGATAATGCACAGTATTTTGAAATAAGTAATTGAAAACTAGAATCAGTTATGATTTAAATAAGAAGGACTAGGTTTTAATATACCAATAATTTAATAATTTAATCTGTGGTTTTCTTTTTAAAATGTGCTTATGGAGTCATTTAAATTATTAAAATATTGGTGCAATAGAACCCAAACTTTTATCTTCCTAACAAGACCCTCACTGATGAGTTTTACTCCATTTTATTGATGCTGAATTTTGCTGTTCTTTTCAATTATTTAAAGAGTTTTAAGACCAAGTGCTATAAATTGGCAAGAGAAAGGATCCCTATACTTTAAAACTATGCTGTCTTTTACATGCCCTTATAAAGTTATTTCTTGCATTCTTCTAGGACCTCATTAATCAGGGAAGAGAAAAAGTTGTGGAAGCAACAAACAGTGTGACAGCAGTGAGGATTCAGCCTCTTGAAGATATAATTTCAGCTGTAGTAAGTTAATTGGCAGTTGTTTATTCCAACTTGCAGTTTGTGTTCTCCCCCCTCCATTTGTTTTAATTTTTAATTGTTGTTTGACTCACTACTTCCATGGGGAAAAGAGCGTAATCCTTATAACGTGATTTGCAACAGTAAAATACTAATAAACTGGATAATAGTGCCAAGCTATATGTAATTCAGTTTTACCTGGATGTTGGCACAAAAGAGAAATGTAAAATCTAAGAATTTGGAAATCAGTTAATCATAGAAATGTGTGCATTGTTTACATAAATGTACTTTAATTACCAGTTGCATGAATTAAATCCAAATAGTTTTATTCCAGACATAGGTAACCTTTGTACAATAGTGGACAACTTAGTACCCGGCTTTTACATCATTGTCTTCTTTAGAAAAGAGTAAAGGAAAAGGAAAAAAAAAACTTAAAAAATCCTCAGTATCTTTAAGTACCTTAATTATTTTTTCTCAACTCTACTGCAATAAGGAGTAAATAGAAACTTTTCTTTTAGTGGAAGGAAAACATGAATCTCTCAGAGGCCCAGGTACAGGCGTTAGCATTAAGTAGACAAGCCAGCCAGGAGCTTGATGTTAAACGAAGAGAAGCAATCTACAATGACGTATTGACAAAACAACAGATGGTAAGAATTTGGACTATCTCTAGGTTATGTTTAATTTTCTTGAATTTATAATAATCGGTTTGTGTGACATCTGTGTCAATAACCATTCCCTCATATGGACGGATGGATGGTCATTGGTTATTCCCAGAGAAACTTTATCCAAAAACCTAGTAATGTCAAATAAAGGTAATGTCTTTTGTTGCAAAGGAGCAACAACTTCCCAAATGGGTCTCCTTGAAGTTTACATAGACTTTCTTCCCTATAATTTTATTTTCGTATATTCTGGACATCTAAAAAAGGATTTTTGCCAGACTTTTTACCACATTTACTATTTTAAAACAACTTCCACAAATATGTATACTTTTTAATATATTTAATTTGAGATAAAAAGTGGAGCTATAAATGATACATGACACAGGTTCCTACTAAATTATGTAATTCTTTAAAAGACTAGCATATTCCAGGATCCTTGATCATCTTTCCTAGCATGGTCTTTGCCAGCCATCTGCCTTGCACTGGGAAATTTCAACTCTTGACACCAGGGAATCAATTTCTGTGGCATGAATTTTACTTAGAAAGCACTGTAGAATTATGTGGTTTTAAATTATCTTAGGAAATTTGAGCCATTCCAAGTAGGAATTATTCCCACTGCAAGTGCCTTTTCCCTTGGGTGTTTGTCACTAAAACTGTTTGTCTGTCATCAGGTGAAATATTCAAAAGAATGACAAAGAAAGGAGACTTGACAAAAAAGTGCTGTAACTAATACTTGAGACTAATCACAGTGCAGGATGGGTTACTATGGCAACTAACCTAAATGCTGCTTGCACTACAATAGTCAAGTCATTAAGAGAATTTAGCCCTAAATGGTGTTACTAACCGGTTTCTACAGTAATGGTCCTGTGAATGCCATCAAATTAGTAATGGTGATAACAATAATGTGTTTCCCTTTTGGTATGGTACCCCCTTAACAAATTGATTTTAACTCAAAACTTGATACTGCCTCTTTGAGACAGGTCATGCACTTGTAACAGCTCTCTTTTCTCTCTTTAGTTAATCAGCTGTGTTCAGCGAATACTTATGAACCGAAGGCTCCAGCAGCAGTACAATCAGCAGCAACAGCAGCAAATGACTTATCAACAAGCAACACTGGGTCACCTCATGATGCCAAAGCCTCCAAATTTAATCATGAATCCTTCTAACTACCAGCAGATTGATATGAGAGGAATGTATCAGTCAGTGGCTGGTGGTATGCAGCCACCACCATTACAGCGTGCACCACCCCCAATGAGAAGCAAAAATCCGGGACCTTCCCAAGGGAAATCAATGTGATTTTGCACTAAAAGATTAAAAGATTGCTAAAATCATAGAAAGATCTTTTATTTTTTTAGGAATCAATGACTTAACAGAACTCAACTGTATAAATAGTTTGTTCCCCTTAAATGGCAATCTTCCATATTAGTTTTAAATTTTTTTAATAGGGCATACCATTTCTTCCTGACATTTGTCAGTGATGTTGCCTAGAATCTTCTTACACACACTGAGTACAGAAGATCTTTCAAATTGTTTTCAGTGAAAACAAGTCCTTCCATAACAGTAACAACTCCACAGATTTCCTCTCTAAATTTTTATGCCTGCTTTTAGCGACCATAAAATTGTCATAAATTAATGGATTTATGAAAGAATACAGATTTATATATTCATTCTTTACATATAAAAACACACAGCTGAGTTCTTAGAGTTGATTCCTCAAGTTACGAAATACTTTTGTATTAATCCATTTCTTGATTAAAGTGATTGAAATGGTTTTAATGTTCTTTTGACTGAAGTCTGAAACTAGGCTCCTACTTTATCGTGTCTGTGACTGAAAATTAGAAACTAAGGGTTATCTTTGACACAGAATTGTGTGCAATATTCTTAAATACTACTGCTCTAAAACTTGGAGGAGTCTTGCAGTTATCTTAGCATTGTATAAACAGCCTTAAGTACAGCTTAAGAAGAGAATTCCTTTTTCTTCTGTAGTCTTTCTGCCATTTTTTATTTTCAGTTATACGTGCTGAAATAATTACTGGTAAAATTGCAGGGTTGTGGATTATCTTCCACACAAGAATTTTCTCTCTCCTGGCACTAATATAAAGCACATCTCTTAACTGCTTGGTGTCAGTGCTAGTGCTTCATCCTGTTGCTGGCAGTGGGATGTGGACTAACAAAATCAAGTTCTAGCATTTTAGGAGGTTAAGGATGATGTTGTGGTTGTTAGCTTCACACCCTGTTTTATAAACAACATCAAAATGGCAGAACCATTGCTGACTTTAAGTTCACATGAGGAATGTGCTTTAAAACAATTCCCAGTACTGTCAGTATTGTGAAATAATTCCTCCTAAAGATAAGGTTCACTGGCTTCTATGCTCTTCTTTTCTCTCATCAGTATGTTCTTTTTTCCCAACTACATTTTCTTACGTAAATTATGTTTCAAAGCTCGATTTTTTTTTCAGTTTAGATCTGTGAGGCAATTTTCTGATCAAAATTAATTAATCTCTAATGCCCTTTTATGAGGTTTTACTAGAAAGTCATTACATTGTCATTTTTCTTAATCCAGGCCTGTAAAAATGACTTATAAGCTTATTCATGTACAATTTGGTTGCTTGAGTTTCTTAAAGAAAAAGATTGTTAGACTATGAGAGTCAACTCAACATGGCAAAACTATTTTTGAGATGGTGACGTAACATGTAGTGGAAATGGCCAACGAATTCCAAAAAAGAGAAAGCTGGGTGGAGGATTTGCTCTAGGTATCACTGGATTAGAATGAGGAATGAGTTTAACATTAGCTAAAACTGTTTTGAATTGTTAGGATGATTAAGAGATTTCCACTTTGATCATGAAAAACTAGTGGTAAACATCCAAGAGTACTAAGTTTGTCATATAGAATTTTGAGGTTTGGTGGATCCACCCTCCACCTTCCCGTGGTGAGTTATCACTAACAAATTCCATGTATTTGGATATTATGCCAGCCATATAATCAAGTTCATTCAATTGGTGTGGGGGGGGGTGTTTTTACTTTAGAAGAAATGAAAGAGACAAGATTTATGAGATAAATATTTGAAGACAGTATACTTTGGCCAACTGTTATCAGTTGGTATTTCTACAAGTCCAGAATACTTTAAACCTGATTTACTAGACCTGTGAACTTTCATCATGGTCTGATTGCTTGCTCAAAGACATAGGTGTCAAAATTTTAGGCAACCTTCTAAACCTTTTTCATCATTAATGAAACTATGACTTAAAGGATAATACATAGAAGAATGATTTGGAAATAAGAAAGTTTGAGATAAAACTTGGACCACTTTGCATACTCTTCTTCACTTGACATTTTAGCTACATAATATGTACTTTGAGTATAACATCAAGCTTTAACAAATATTTAAAGACAAAATCACATCAATAAGATACTAAAAGGCTCATTTTTATATTTGTTTTAGATGTTTTAAATAGTTGCAATGGCTTAAAAAATGACGATTTAAAATGTTGCTTGTAATACAGTTTTGCCTGCTAAATTCTCCACATTTTGTAACCTGTTTTATTTCTTTGGGTGTAAAGCGTTTTTGCTTAGTATTGTGATATTGTATATGTTTTGTCCCAGTTGTATAGTAATGTTTCAGTCCATCATCCAGCTTTGGCTGCTGAAATCATACAGCTGTGAAGACTTGCCTTTGTTTCTGTTAGACTGCTTTTCAGTTCCGTATTGAGTATCTTAAGTACTGTAGAAAAGATGTCACTTCTTCCTTTAAGGCTGTTTTGTAATATATATAAGGACTGGAATTGTGTTTTTAAAGAAAAGCATTCAAGTATGACAATAATACTATCTGTGTTTTCACCATTCAAAGTGCTGTTTAGTAGTTGAAACTTAAACTATTTAATGTCATTTAATAAAGTGACCAAAATGTGTTGTGCTCTTTATTGCATTTTCACAGCTTTGAAAATCTGTGCACATATTGTTTCATAGAAAATGTATAGCTTTTTATGTGCTATTTAATGGTGGTTCTTTTGCACATTTAGTTATTTAATATTGGGAGGTCAAGAAGTTTGGTTTTTAAATCTGTTATATACTAAATTCTGTAAAAGGAGATCTCAAACCTCAAAAATAATTTACATCCCAGGAAGTCTATGTGTGTTTGTGTTAGTTTTGGTTGTCTGTGTGTAATCCAGTACCATTTCCTGCTTCCCAACTGCTGCGTCACTCATTTAAGTCAAGCAGAGCTACAACTCCACACTTGATACAAAAGCTGCTTACTATCCCGGAGCAATAGCAGGTTGATGGAAACCTTGTTACGTGACCTCCAAAGAAGGTGAATATTTTGTAGTCTTCCCTTAGCTATGCCCATTCTCCCTCTAGTATCATAAAATCAGATACATATTTCTGTACCCTAAACAAAACTTTAAAGAATTAATTACATACCCCAGTAAAAATCGTTTCCTTTGAGGGTGGCATGTTGTGAGATATTTTAACAGTAAAATAGGTCATCCTTTTACGTGCTTATTTCACGAAAAATTATGTTCAGGTTATTCCCCACCTTAGTTCACCAGACTTAATCTCAAGTGACTTTTGGCTATCTCCAAATAAAATCTACCCTTAGAGATGAAAATTCTTCCACCGTTGATTTTTTTTTCAAAAGTATGTAATCTTTGCCAATCTCAAAGGAGTGACCAGAAATGCTTTTTGTCTGTGCAACATTTTATATATGCTGTTATATGGAAGTGAATAAAAATTTAAAAGCCAAAATATATACTGTTTCTAAGCTCAGTATCTGCCAGGTAACCAAACTGCCCACATCACTCATGTTGGATCTAATAAGGGAATGGCCTTTGCGGCCCCTAGTTTTACTCCCTAGAGTATGTACTACCATAAAATTTCTATACAATATATACTGCCACCCTCTCTTTGGAATAACCTTCCTGAAACCATTGTGCCTACTTGGCTGACTATGGAAATCACTCTTCCTCCCCCCCACTCTAGGGATCTGTCTTTCTGATAGTGACCACTGCATACCTTCACCAAGGGATGTGTGACAAGGAAGGCAGCATATAAATTGACACCTCTATTAAAAACAATAAAGATAAAGCTTTAAAGGAATGAAAGGGTGAGACAAATCCTAAAATACTCCTCTTTTAATACTCAGAACTGCCACATTTTCCAAGCAGTCTACCCAGCAGCACTCTTCCGCATTCTATTCCTGAACATTATGCCCTCACTTCTCCTCCCTGATAGAAACACGTTAAGGGAGGGGGAGCTTGGCTCCAATCTCCTTTGGGTAATCATATCAGATGACTACTGAGAGACTTCTACCTATTAAGTAGACTCAGCCCCCTGCCTATAGTTCTCACATCAGATATGTGCTGGTTTTCAAGAAAGGTGACGAGAGATGACTTATCAGATGCAAGGATGGGATTTGTTTCAGGTATATGAGGAGAAAGTGTAGTATTGAAAGAAAAAGAACAAAGGTTAGAGAAGGATCAGGAAAGACAGACTAGATTGGAGTGGATTGATGGAGGACCTTGAAATCCTGAATGAGTAATTCAATACGGAGGATAACAAGGGTTTGTGAGGGAGCAGATGTGTTCAAAGTAGCAGGTAAAGATAGTGATTTGGGCAGGGGTAATTTGAATGGTTAGGTGAAGAAAGATTGCAGACAGGAAGATGGATAATTAGGCATTCAGTGACCAGACTACTGACAATTTTAAGGACAAAAGGCACAGTCATCAGAGCTTGTATAGGATAGTGAACTTCTTAAATTGTAAGAAAAACCTTATTTCCTTTTACCCTTCCCCAAGGAGCCCAATTTGTTCAGGATTTCTGATTTTACATGCAAAAGTTCACTTACTCTTTGTTTACCCTCTCAAACATAGTGATAAATGCATTAGTGGCATTCATGTTCTCTCACAATTTTTCGTTACTCCTAATTAACCCGTATACATTATTTGCAGAAAGTGAGTTTGGTCCATTTAAGTCGAGTGTAATTCTACATCTTTCCTCAAGCTAACTCTTCAAAGGGCTGAATCCATTCCTGTTACTTTTCCTTGAGACCCATCCATTCCAAGGGCTAGTATCTCAGTTGGTAATGTTATATTTATAATCTTCCCTTGTTATTTTCAAAGTGCTTTGTGCTTATTACGTGTTAGCCTGTGTACAACATATCTGTGAGAAAAGTGAGGAGAATAGTTACATTTTCCTCGTGACAGTTAAGCTAAAAGACCAAAATCAAATCTATTGGCACTTAGGATG